AGAAATGAATATGAAGACTTTACACCTTTGTTATTTCTCACTGTTAAAAAAGCTACTGAGGATATTTCACTAGCTGCATGCTTACCTCAGGTTAATGCTGCCAAAATACATGTATTTTTATCTGTTTCTAGAGGGGAAGGTTCCTTACAAAAATGATATCTTTTTCTAAAGAGAAGCAAATTTGCTAATTTTTGTGGCTACTCTAAAACTTCTCCCAAAGAAGCATTATCTCACATAAGTGTGAGTGTTTTATAACTGTGTGGGTGTATGTGCCTTGGTTAGGGGGACTGAAAGTGGAGGAGGAATGAGGTTGAATTCACGAGGTAGATATTACAATTAACCTCTCTAAGCAAATGTATAAACTGAGGCTCAAAAGAGGTAACACAGCCAGGTCTGGGTGACAAGGAGAAAGCTCACCCATCCATCAAAATGCTTAACTTCTGATACCAAAGTTCAAAATGGTTAGAAATATGGGTGTTTTAAAAGGTACCTGGGATTTGTTCCAGCCAAGTATGGTAAGATGACAGACATGGAGACGTCTGCCTTGAAAGAAGAGTTTCTTACCTAGAGTTCCCAAGAGGAGGGGACACACACACCACACAGGGCCACATAGGGAAGCACCAGGGTCAGTCAGGAGGCAGGAGAAAGGGGATGAGCATGAGCCAGAGCCTTTATTGAGGTTTTTGTGGGAATGAATGGGTGAGACAGGGAGGGCAACCTGAGCAAGTTTAGGATTGGGTAGACTGAATAATTCCAATAGGCTCTGGGATGGAAAAGTGGTGCCTAGTTGTCCAGTATCTGGCCCTCAGGTGACTTAGGGAAAAGAGAACATTAGATTGGTGTGTGAGAGTTTGATCCAGGAGAAGTTTGGGGAATGGGCTCTAGATTGATTGGTTTGCATATCAAAGGCTGTTCTCTGCAGGTTGCTTTCTATCGCTAGGAATTAGCCAACCCTGGAAGATACAGTTCCTCCCCTGAGTCTGCAAGTCTCCAACATGTCAAAGACATCTTCCTATATAGAGAATTAAAAAGAAAATGGTTAATAAAATAGGATAACATATATTCATTTCTCTATAACCTATCGGCATTATGTAGAAATAGATGGCATACTTAATCACATATAACAGCATACAGTTAGTGCTCTGTACCTGCAGGCTCCACATCCACGGATTCAACAACCACGGACTGAAAAAAAAAATTTTTTTTTCCATTTCAGAAAGTTCCAAAAGGCAAACTTGAAGTTGATGCACTCTGGCAACTATTTACTAGCATTTTCATTGTATTAGGTATTATAAGTACTCTAGAGATGATTTAAAGTATACAGGGTGATGAGTATAGGTTATATGCAAATACTACACCACTTTATATAAGGGACTTGAGCATCCGCAGATTTCGGTATGCGAGGGCGTCTTCGAACCAATCCCCTGCATTTACTGAGGGAGGACTGTGTTTATTCACAATTAATTATTAACTAAATTAAATTAATTCCTATGACATAAATGTGTCCGATTACAAGAATGCAATTTATACTGTATGTTAAGTGTGTTTGATGCACAAATCCATTTATTAGTACTTCATAAAAGGAGATGTTTAGGGAGCTGTGCTGGGGTTTGCCGCCATCTTGGAGGAGAATCGCTGGGAGCTCCTGGGGTTGGGGGTTGGCCTCGGGGCGGGGTTGGGGGCGGGCAGGGGCGGGGCTGGGGTGGCCTCGGGGAGGGGCTCTGCGCCTCAGCGCGGCACCGCCCCAGAGCGTGTCCTGCTCAACGGCCGAGGCGCCGCTCCTCAGGCCTTGTGACGGGGATCCGAAATCCTTCCTGCACCGTCTGTGCCAGGCCCCCCTGGACCCGGACTCAGACAAGCATGAAACAGGTGTCTCTTTCATGGTCAGAGACGCCAGCTAGTTCGGCCCGTGGTGCCCTCCCCGAGACACTGGTCATTCACAAAGACCTTGCAGAGGGAGCGGAATTTTACAATATCACCTCACTAGTAAAACTTGCAAAGGACAGAATTAGAGAAGGAGACAGCAAAACATCACAGCTGCGGGTGACGCATGTGCACCGAGGGCTCCAGGTTCCAGGGGCGGAGCTTCCGCAGACCGGGCCCACCAGGCCGTCGGCGGGAGGTCCGAGCAGCAGCACCGGCTCTTCCTGCAACGACAGGGGTGCAGAACAGGTGGGTTCCTCTGCGGGGTTTCCCAGGACCTGCACGACTCCCTCGACGGCCCAAGCAGGGAGCCCTGCGAGAAGGCCACCATTTTGTAAGCACGGGGTTCAAGGAAGGATGTGAGGAAGACAGTATCCACAGCTTTAGAAATGTTTTACCTTTTCCCAAGATGCAATGGTCCCCCATGTCGAGGAAGACTGGCTGTGAGAAGAAACCTGCTTTGTACAATTTCTCGAGAGAGGTCTGGGTGTGACTCCTGGGCCCTGGAGGTGGGCGGCGAGGGACGGGGCCAGCTGTCCGAGGCCGGGCGTCCCCACCCAGGAGGCCCCGGTGGGCGTCCCCATAGGGACTTCCGCTTGGTTTCGCCAAGGACCGCTCAGGCCTGAGGCCGGGCGCTCCTGACTGACCCTTTTAATCACCGAAGATAGCTGAAAGGACAGCGTTCCTGGTGCTACATAAACAGACTGTAACGGAGCCCGGGCCACACTGGTGGGCAGTGGCAGCAGCGCCCCGGCCCCGGGCTCTGGGTGCCCGCTGCTCACCCTGGCAGCACCAGGCCCTGGTCCTCGGGGCAGGGGGTCCGCGCTGCCTCCTCGATGAGATGGGTTGGTGGTTTCTCCTGGCCTCCGCGTGTTCAGTGCTTCCCGGGCCTCCTTCCTGACCCGGCCCGGAACAATCGAGGCTTCTCCATTTGTCATTTCCAGGCGAGAGCCCTGCGCATCCTTCCTTTCCCTGTGTGGACGCTTTTACTTCTTTTACTTCTTAGAAATGCCTGAATGTCCTGCTGCCTTTGGGGCTGATCTGTTAAGTTAGTTAAAAGGAGGTACAAGTTTTGCCTCGTCGGACCCACCCGGGGCCTCGGGGGACCTGGCGCCCATTCCTGCCTTGGTCTGGCCTGGGATGGAGGTCAGGGCGGGGTGTCTGTGCAGTTTCTGGAGCCGAAACTCCGGGTCACGTTGCAAAGCGGACGTTTACAGCACATCGCAAACATCTCTTTCGCACGGGCCCTCTAGTCCTCTTGTGTAACTATGCACATCTCCCTGATGTATCTGGGGCGTTGGTGACACAGCCTGCACGGGCCCTGCTCCCCTACATGACGTTGGCGCTGCTAGGATTCCTTTGAAACCTTCCTCGGCTGGTCGTGCGGCCTGTCAGTCCGGGGGGGACCTGGGTCGGAGGGCAGCTCTGCTACCTGACCTTGGGCTTCTAGGCAGGTCTGGCTCCAAAGGCTTCCAGAGGCTTCTCGCCTGTGCCCTCTTCTCATTTGCCAATATTACCTGATGAACCAAGTTCTGCAGCACCTAGGACTTGCCTCCTCCTTTTTGTAAGGTCTGTTGTATGTTGCTAAATGTTTGGCTTCATTGGTTTATAGCAACCTTTCTATAGGGCACACTTAACCCTGCTGACGCGCCCTCCCCGGAGCCCGCAGGCGTGGGCGGCCCCTTCTTGGCCCGTGGGGCGCTGCTGTGATCTTGACATAATACATAGGCTTGTGGCTTTTTTTTTTAATTTAAAGATATCAAGACTTAATTCACTAAAATTTATTCTAAGTGGATATTTTTACTTTTGTACTTCTTTAAGTATCCATATTTTATCGGCTTACAGTTCATGCCTAAGTTTCCCCTGAAAATAGCAAATAAAATTGTGTATTTGTGGGGAAAAAAGAAATGTTTAGGGTAATGGTTAAAACTGAAGATGCTAAAATCAGAGAGAACTGGATTGAGGTCCCAGCTGCCCCTACTGCAAGTTACTTCATTGGGCCTGTTTCCACTTTTGTGTAAGGGGGCTTATCATAACCTACCTCATAGAGTGAGTCAGTGTATGATTTAATTGGACAGTACTGGAAAAGTCCTTAACCTGGTGCCTGGATATTGATTTAGGATTTAGAATTACTCTTATTATTTAGGTCAATGAATACTCATAATTATTATTCTCGACAGGTTTTTTCAAAGTTTTAATTTTTTTAGGATAACTAAATAGATTCACCGTATGAAGATGCAGAAAGCTTAAGCAATTATTCAAATGATTCAAATCTCCTCCTGTTTTCATCTTAATTGTCTGAAAATTTTAAATGAAATATTTGAGTCAAAACTAGCCAAAAATTTGCTTCAGGTGGGCCAAGTTTGCCTACCAGAGCAACCATAGTCACTGTTTAATAACTATAACTTAAACAAAATCAGAGAATGGACCAGGCCTACGCATAGCCACTCCTGGGATCACTAAGGTATGAAAGAGTATTCTCACTGACCTCATGGGTGCACCAAGTGGGATTAGGAAGAAAATAGGGTTTACTCCATCAATCGCACAAAAATGTCTCCTTTATTCTTCATAGCCACATGTTAAATTTATGAAAATTCTTCCATCTGTGTTTTTTTAAGATCCTTTTCTTTTTTCTTCACCATCTTCTGAAAGATTGTTTAACTTATATTTATTTACCCGCTCTTCTATGTCTTCTATAAAAAGCTTTTTTCAAAGAGGGAGAAAGGAAGTAAAGAAACTAAATAGAGAAAACTCTATAAAAATGTTTTGCTATATTTTTGATATAAAAATATCCAGCCATCAGCAGCTAGGTTATTCTTCAAATTTACATAAGGATTTATTATCATCTTGACTGCAATCATGTAGAAAACGAATGGGGTACAAAGTACATGAGGCTAATTTAATAAAACGAGCTTTCTTTGCTTGTGAAATCTTTGAAGAAAGGAATCATTAGACAGAGACTTGCCTTGTTTTCACCAAGGTCAGGAGGCATGTCAACTTGGAGATGTGCCCTTGGCGAGAAGTCCTTAATTAGAAATTCCTCGGGAGCTGCTCCCAGTAGGTGCTTCCTAAGACGGAAAGACAAAATAACTTAGCAGGGAAGCCCTTACTAAGGGTAAGGTTACAACGTCCAGGTTCAGGTGAATGAAAGAAACAATTTGCTGACAGCAAAAGAGCAAAGCTGTCATGATGGGTTGCTGGATTTTGAATGAAAGTCTCTCCATCATATTAGTAGTAAGTATCATTTTTGTTATTTAACTTTAAATATATACATTGAATGTCTTGATTCTTAGGATAACTTGTAGAGCGATATGAAATAACTTCAAGTATTGCTCTGGTTAAAGGACTAAAACTTGTTAGAAAACATTCAATAGATATATTTAATTTACCCTTGCAGAATCATGTAAGTCATGACTTTTAAAGTCAAGTAGTTTGCTTTTGCATCATGTATGAATGTTTCTCTAAATCGAATGAAGGCTTTGAATTAGACTATGAAATTGGAATTTTTCCAGAGTACTTTCTGAGTTGTTTTTAAAGATTTCCTCCTTCTTGACATTATTGACTTAAAATGTTATAGCAATGTTGATTAGGATGGTTTTGTACTTTTCATTAATTTCCTTAAAATACACCCATATATGTTTAAAGTCTTTTTTTATAAAGTTAACAATTTCTTACCAGTACGATCACTGTTAAAAAACTGATCTATGAGAAATAAGTACTGTATATTGTGGTTGATATTGAGAAGCTCTTCATTTCACTTTAAAAGAAGAACCCCAAGAACCCCAAGTGATTTTGAATAGAAGAAAAGTTTGAAGACAGTATTGATTGGTTCTTTTTTCATTCTACTCTAGCTCTCATGGCTGGGAGTAAATTTATATCTGTTTATTGACACATTCTGTTGGTACGAAGAGGAAGAGTCTTTCCTTTATACACGAGTTATTCTGGGTGTAAGTAGATTTGGGGACTACACATTAATTATCAATACAGAAAGAAAATGCATTCTCTTTTCCCCGGCTTCCTTGTTTTCACTGTATCTCTTTCTTGTGTGTTTATGTATGGACAGTCAACACTGGCTTGGGCTCGAGCATCTGCAGTGTGCCTGAATTTTAACTGCATGCTAATTCTGTTACCAATCAGTCGAAACCTCCTTTCACTCATGAGAGGGACAAGTAGTGTAAGTATTAAATTATCTGAAATAATTTCAGTTGTTATGATCTAATGTGTGTCATTGAAAACAAAGATGTACTTCACTATGAAATTCCCAATAATCCTGGTTAGATTGAGGTCTGTTTCTCTGTAGTGAGAACACAAGGACTAAAACTGAACGTCTGAAATTGGAACATCTGATTTGTCTTTTGCTTTTGCCATTGACTCCCTACATGACATTGGACTCATTGCTCAACCTTCCCCTGATGCATTTGCTTCATTGGAAAAGAAGAGCTAATAAGATTGACCTGACTCGTGAAGATGGAAGTATTATAACAGCTTGAATTACTACAGTTTCTGATTAAAAGGAGCTAAATAAGTAGATGAGCCAAATGCACTCAAGAAGCATCTCTCTGAGTTTTCAGCCCAGGAAAACACAGTCACTGTACATAGATTTTAGTATGTAAATTTTAGCCCCTACCAGACATATTGGGGTATTTCCTAATTATGTAGATGTCACCGTGTTGGGTGCTTACCTGTGTTTCCTGCCAAACAGAATAATGCACTGTACAGAAAAATAAGACCTTCAATAACCCTTCTAGACTACATAATTTATTATATAATCATCTTCATAATTTTATGAATAGTTAGTTGTAGATGCATATAGAGCCTTTCTTGGTGTAGTAAGGAATAATTTATAGACTACTTAAACCATGTCACTGAGGATGATGGTTATAATCTTCATTTTCTAAATTAGCTGAGGCGTGATTATTAGCAGGTTTATTCTAGAGTTTTGGCTTATAGCCAGGCAACTACTAACTCAGTCACTTTTATTGAGTTGAAATTTCAGCAAAGCCAGTAATAACCATTTGATTTTGCTTGTTTAATTAATGGCCACTAATTTTTGTGTCATGTCGCCTCACCTTCAGTAATTTAGAGACAGGGCCTGAGTCTTGCTTTCTTAACTCTTATGACACTGTTATTGCTATGATTTTCCCTGAATAAGACTTTTAATTTTTGTTATTCTAGTGCTTCAGAGGACCATGGAGGAGGCAATTAGACAAAAACCTCAAATTCCACAAACTGGTTGCCTATGGGATAGCCATGAATGCAAGTAAGTGCTAGTTATTAATTGCCTGATTAATTTTATAATACCTCCCATTCACTTTATAGTTTTATTTCCTCCCTGCCAAAGACTCACCCTTAGGTAAAAGAAATCTTTGCCTTCCATCTGACCATACAAACCTTATATAAATGGATTTTTTAATTTCTGATTTATACTCATGCAGTCTTCCCTACCAAGCCTTCAGTTTGTCAAGGAAAAGTTTATGAAACTTCATTTTCATTTGTGAATAACTAAGCTTGTTGATAATACCATGGTAAAAACCCACTTGAAAAATGAACACTTCGTTAGTCAATATAATTCACATCAGAAATAAAATTGACCTATACTCAAAGTCCCATTCAGTCGTAGGAAAACGACTATCAAATGGTATCATGGGCAATAAGAAGAAAAAAGAAAAGCAAGATCATGTGAACAAGGTTCTGAACAGTATTGAGCTAGTGGATATAAAAGGATCTTGAAAAGATATGAAGCTTTATAGGTATATAAAGTGTTATCACTATTTCTTGAATAGAAAACAAGAGAATTCAAGATACAGGCACTAGAAATTAGCATCAAAGGTTAAGGTTAAACTCTGGTGAGGAAGAAAGGAACAGGGGCAATAACCAACTGGCTTGTGGTTTTGTTGGGCGACAAAGACATTGAAATAAAAGGCTATCTGAACAATAAAGAGTTATGATTCAGGACTGTTTCCCTCAAACTAATTTAACAATAAACCGTTTTTCTCATTTGTTTTTATCCTCTCATGCATAAAAAATAGCAGAGTAAAAAGAACACTCAAAACAAATGCGGGTTTAATTAAGCAACAGGACATGACAGACGGTGCCCCAGTGCCAATTAGCACAACTTCGGGTGTGCGCTGAGATGTGTGGGGAGAGTTCCCTACCGGCTGTCTTCAATGCCAGATTAAACCAACCCCGGAAACGTTTGCAAAAGGTCTTTGGAGTTTGTTAAGACTTAAGCGTAAAAATACATCATGTCTTAGAGAACACTAGCGAAGGGATGGAGGACAAGGAACAGGGCTAATTCATGTTTGTGTTCCAAGGCCTGCAATAGCGCTGAGTATATGTAGGTGCCAATAATCTTTGTGAATGCGGGAAGGGATGAAGACTCAGGGAAGCAGATTTCAGCTCAGAAATGCAAGTCTTTGCCAGACCTTGAAAATTATCTAAAATTAGAACGAGGGTCCCCTGAGAGTGCTGAGTTCCCTGTTGGGGGAGGTGCCTAGTGGAATCCAAATTGCTCCTTGAAAAGCACTTCAGAGAAGGAATTCAAGGAATCTCTAGGCTTCCTTTAAAATCTTAAGAATCTTTAATTCTGTATTAAAAGAGGAGATAAAACACAGTACAATGGCAGGAAGAATATGATCACTCTGCAATAGCTTTAAGGCAGAATTGGACTCTAAGAGAAAGTTACAAAGATATTACAGAGAGAAGGAACAAAAAAACCCACAGCATCAAAACAATCAAAAAAGAAATCAAAGGATAAAGGAAAATATGTATTATACAATAGGTTTCTCCTTAAACCTTTGCGTATGTATATTTCTTCATCTGGAATCATATATCAATAGTATACCTGCATCAGTGATGTGTACTGAATATCTCCCGCCCATGTGCAAGATACCCTGATAGGAGCTGTAACCGTCTGAAACTGGTACAGTCAGTAATGTTTTCAGGATGGAGTATAATTCATAGGGACAGCAGTTGACTAGAATCAGATAACCAAGTTATTTTATACCCCTGCTAGTGATGGGTTGTGTGATCTCGGATAAGTTCCTTATGTCCTCCTCTGTGGAATTAAAAGAACAATAATCCAATCTATCCATCCTTATAAGATGCGCAGACCAGTTGTCAGGAGTGGACCTCTAGGAAACCGACAGACTTCAAGGTCATTCACTGTGGCTATTGCAAAGAGAATCAGGTCCAGGTTTAACAGGGCCAGCAGGCTCCGCTCGTCAAGCCCCGCCCACTGGTGCTTCCCCTCACCTCTCACCGCACCCCTTTGCTTTTCCCTAGCTCCCGGCGGTCCCTGAGCAGTCTGTGCCTTTGCTCTTGGTATTCCCTTTGTCCAAAATGCTTATCCTCTCCTTCTTCGTTGGGTAAGTGGTTGCTGTACCCAGGACTCGTTGCCTGGCCAGCTTTCCTCTGAGCCTCCAGGTCTGGACTGTTGGCCCTCCTCACCTGCGGGTCCAGCCGCACCTCCTGCCCTATAGTACTATTTCTCAGACTCTCATCGCCTTAAAATTTGCGACTGTGCCTTATGCCTCTTGGCTTTCCTGGGCCCGGCACACAATAGGTCCTGAACAAATTGGTCAAACCTGAGGATGAGCAGAGAAGTCAGCTAGCAGGCAAAAGAGATCAAGAGAATTCCTGGAAAAAGAGACAAGATATGAGAGTGCGGGAGTTCCCAGGGAACCGGGAGCAGTTTGGGGTGGACGAAAGATAGAGTGGGCAGTGAAGAGGTTCAGAATGACGTCAGTCATCCAAGGTAATCAGTTCGCATTCTGCTATGACAAGACAAAGCAGGCAGCTCTTTCTCCTCCGTCTTTCCCTCACAGATCCCTGGAGAGAATCAGGTATTCTCTCTGGCCCTCTTCTGCTTGAGTCCCCACTGTTTGCCAAGCTTCCAAACATCTCCTGGGGCTGTGCCAGCAGGGTCTGACTGCTTTTGAGAGCAGAGCGCCCCTCTTCTCCCACCTCCATGGCAACCAGCGGTGCTGCGGTTGTTTCCATTCCAGGCAAAGGCGGGAAGGTGGGGAGATCGCTCTCTGCTTCTCCCAGACCCTGACAAAGCAATTACTACATTTCACATTAACTACAAAACGTGGCTGGCAACGGTGCTTTTAGAAGAAAAAAAAAATGCTAAGCCCTGGTTTCATAGATATACCTTTGCTTTTCACATTTTGTCCTTCCGGTGTATTCACTTGGGAGCAGCTGAAAATGTCCCCGTGCTTATTTTATTAGCATCGCCCATGATGCTGCTTTTCAAATAGCCGACTGGCTTAATAGAGGTGTGTAACCTTGGAAGAAGTGCGTCCACATCGAGGTTTGCGTGCCAGCCTCTAATTTCTCATCCATTCCCCTGTAAGTTGAACTGCAGGCTTTAATTGGTCAAATCATTAAAGGATGTAATTAGAGCCTTGTGAAAGTAGGCTGGGGTGGAGGAGGGAAGAGGCAGACAATGGTATCCATAATCAAGGGCATCACCGAAAATGCAGTGACAGGAACTCTTCTTCCTTTGGCTTCCTGCCTTCCTGCATGCCTGCCTATGATAAGAGCTGCTGGAGCCTTCTTCAGCCACTAATAAATCATTTTCAGAGCCCTGTAACCTCACTGGTATAAAAATCATAGTTTCGCAGCTTCTCCGTTCTTATTAATGCAGGTCTTTCTGGGCTCTCTGGTCCACAGTAGACCTTGAAGACGCTTCCAATGGAATAGTAGTACTTTGAGCCCGAGCTTCCTTCAAGAGGTCTGTGAATAGAGACCAAGGCAGCTCTCTCTGGCAAATTCTGCAGCTTGCATCCGCTAGGTTCCAGGGCGGACAGTGACCCACGTGTAGCTCCTGATGAGTTGCTGATTAAACCTCAAGAAACACAACACAGACAGGTTGAGAGAAACGACCTCAGAATCGGGGTGCTAAGAAAAAGTGATTTGGAGGACTCACCACAGAGAACAGTCCCAGAGGCCCAAACTCTTCAGGACTTGATCCCAAAGGAATGGCTACTAGTTCTGCTTGAGGCACGGGGAGGTCCAAGGAGGCTCTCTACCCTGTCCTGCCTATAACATGATTTAATGGGATTTACAAACGAGTGGCATGCACAGGATGCCAGAGAATATGTGTGTTCTTGCAGAAATCAGACCACACACTTGAAAGTTTGGGGCCAGATTCTGAAATGCAGAATCAAGAAGCGCAGCCAGGATTTGTCCCAGCATCCTTCTTTCTAAAAGCTGCTTAATTAGGAGGTGACTAACTTCAGAATGACTGTTATCACTGACAGGCAGGCAGAAAGATAGCAAGAACTGACCACACTTCCAAGATTCTCCCTCAATCACACTCCCTTTGATCTCCTGCAAAAGAAAAAGAAGGAAAGAAAGAAGGGAAAGGAACTTTCTCAGGGCAACTGGCTCTAATTGTAGCCTTTATGGTTTTTTTGTTCACTCTTCAATAAAATCTCCTTATGTGAGCTCAGAAGTTCAGACACCAATTAATGTGCATTTGTAGTGTGTCTAAGATTGTGGCTCTCTTTTAACTGTAAAAGTACTTTGGTAAGAAAATAAAATTGTGGGAAGACCCAGTCACAGCATCTTTTCGTCTGGCATTAAGGTGGGATCTGGAAATGCGTACCTAGGGCTCTTCCAAGGGCTTTGGCAGAAAGTCCCCAGAGGCACCAGGAAGAAGGAACCTGTGTAGTTGGTGACACTGGATTTGCCGTAACACTTAAGAAACCCCTTTGAGACAGTGTTGACTTTGAAAACATATTGAAACATAAGTTTCATGTTTGCATTGCTCTCGTATTGGACTCCAGCTCCCTTTTAGATTGACAGATACTCCCAATTAGCTTCAGACGGAGACACAGGAGCCAGACAGCTGGAAGGGAGCCTAGACATCAAGGTTTAGTCCAGTCCACACATTTTACAGATGAGAAAACAGGGACTGAAAGAAGTTAAGTAACTGAGAAGTATCCTCTTCAGTATTGTTTCTCCTACATGCTCATATCAAATCTAGTAACATGATATGATTTTGATGACTAAGAAAGAGGAAAATAAAACCATATCTCTATTTTATCACATACTTGAAGCAACCGTCACTGTAAATATAGCACGGCTATTCATATTAAAATAACTAAAATGTATAAAGGGAAGAATAGGAAATATAATGTCTGAAAAAGAACAAAATCAGTATCTCTCCTGGTATCTATCAAGTCCCAACAGTCCTGGATTTGGTAGCTGGGATACCTTTGGTTCCAAGCCAAGATCACAGTAAAATTAGGGTCTGATCTAAGAGGAAATAAAACATTTAGACAAACAAAATGGGCACAAGCAGTATCCTCTCTGAGAATTCCTGAGATAAGTAAAATAAGATATTCTAATTTTTATTTTCTACCTGTGAAAAGAAAACAAAATAGAGGTAGCTGGAGCAAAGGAACATTTAAGACATGAATTTTAAAGTACATAAAAAAACTGGAAAGAATAATTTTCAATATATTCCCTCAGGAGCTACCTTTTGCAAAGCATCTTGGGTTTTCTTATACTACTTCATTAGTTTCTTCAGCTCTGTTATGGGAAACCTGGCAAGAAGAATAAATAAAGAGTTCAATATCTTTGCTCATTCAATAAATGTACTTAAATTTAGTTTATCAGTGTCAAATTCTCATGTGGAAATCAACCTAACAGAAAATAGATTGTGATCAACAACTCATTACATGGGAGAAAGATGTTACAGAACGTAGACTATAAAAGACCTAGAATTTATCCTGTGTTCCGTTTCTGACCATCACATGTGGATTATGTAATGGTAAATACATCACTTAATTTTTTGCTTGAAGCTCAGTATCTATTTCTGTAAAATGGGAACAGCTCCTCTCTGTCTGGTGTGCTTTAGTCCACAAAGGGAGAATTGAAGAAAGCTAGGAGCAGAGGAGTGAGGGTAAAGGGATATAATGTAAAAGGAGTATTTACACCCACCTACAAAGAGGACTCCAAAGGTCATAAGTCTTAGGAGCTATTTGACTCTAGATTAAAGACACCAACTGAGCCATTCAAAGAGTCTAGCTAAGCCCTTAGGAGAAATTCATTTTCAGTAAACTGTAAGGATATAACAATTATTGATCAGTGAAAAGAAGCAGTATAACTTAAAGGTCAAAAGATGGGGCCCTGGAATCAAGCGAACAGGGTTTTATCCTACCTTTGCCATTAATGGACTACAGGTCTCTTAACTTGTTATATACTGGTCTGAAAAGTGGGAATAAGATTAATACTTGAGGATTACATGAGATCGTATGCCTAAAGAATTTATAACAGTGTTTGCGGTATAATAAGTATTCAATATCTGTTAGCTATGAAAAATATTACCTGTTTTTTTCAAAACTTTAAGATACTTACCAGAAAACAGCAATTAAAAATACTGGACAGGGGCTTCCCTGGTGGCACAGTGGTTGAGAGTCCGCCTGCTGATGCAGAGGACACGGGTTCGTGTCCCGGTCTGGGAGGATCCCACAAGCCGCGGAGCGGCTGGGCCCGTGAGCCACGGCCACTGAGCCTGCGCGTCCGGAGTCTGTGCTCCGCAACGGGAGAGGCACAGCAGCGAGAGGCTCGTGTAATGCACACACACACACAAAAAAATACTGGACAATGTTTATGTTCAATTTAGCAAATAGTTCCTATTTTACATACAGCATATTGCAAGAGACTGCTGCCGGGTAAGCTTTTCTAGCTCTGTGGACGCTAAGACCAAACAAGGCAGCCCCTTCGTAGACGTGGCCGCATATAGTAACAAATGGAACTTAACGAGGAAAGACACCGCCCCTTTGGTGCTAACCTCACCAAACCCGTAAAGAGACAGTCAACAGCACAGACTCAGAAACACTATATAATATGCTTTGCCTTCTTAAGTGAGCTTCAACCAAAAGTATATTTGAACTGATTTCTAACTAAAAGGCTGTAGAAAAATGTGTTAAAACACGTATTAGCAGGGAAAACGCTACTCCAACAATGTTGCACACAGATTGGCTCCCTGGACCTTTCTCCCTTTCTGTAATCTTATGGTCACTCTGCAGATCATTACTAAGGACAGGCTGGTGCTAAGCATGTGCCGGGTGTTGAGGTTTCAAGATGAACGAGTCTTGAGGCGTCAAAGTCCATCAAGAAACGCAGGTATAAAAAAAGAAAAAAGAAACGCAGGTATAAATAAATACTCAGAACCATAGTATCTGGGAAATGTCATCAAGGTATGACATCCGTGCTTGTGGAAGCGAAGAATGCTTGAGAAGACAGCTTTTGAATTGGGTCTTAAAGCGTGAGGACTGCTTTGCAGCGCAGAAGAGGGAATGGCTCTGTTAAAAGAAACTCAAGTGGCAGAGAGAAGAGGCTAAATAGAAGATGTCATTTCTAGACGTATCTGATACTGGGACCACAGGAATCAAATGCCACCGATACTCACAGAACTTTCTGCTGTTCCTTTTTCCCTCACTCCCCATACCTCCAGCCAGAACTTAGAGCCGTGGAGGACCCCCAGAATTCACCCACAACTGTAGAGATTTATAATAGTAGTAGCCTCTGCTGCTTTTCACTGTGGGTGCAGGAAAAAAAGAAAAACATATCAACTGGGAAATTATCTGTACTCTGGGTAATGAATTCTCATTTCACACTTGAATCTGATCCCAATGGCAAGTATCAACTGGGGCTTCCATTGGTAGGAAAAGACTCAGGATGTCTTTGTCTGGACGTTGTGACTGCTGGCTTCCCCACAGATTTCAGAAGACCGGGAAGAGTAGCATCGGGCACAGACTTCGTAGGCTGGATGATGCTGTGTTCTGAGCTTATTCTCTTCATTTGGAATTTAGACATCACCAATTCCCAGAATTAGAAAGCTGAATTTTCTTCTTAAGAATATACAAAGAGGCTTAGTTCCATAAATACTGGCTTATTTCAGTCCACTAGGAATAACACATGCAAGTATATGTGTGTATGTGTACATGTAGGTATATATATACATGTACACTAAAATGTATAAAGTAAGAATAAAAAATATAAAGTCTGAAAGAGAACAAAAACACTGTCTCCTCTGGTATCCATAACGTATGTCGTGTGCATATATATTAGTGTGCTTGATGTACAGTATTCTAGACAATGCTTTCTTATTTCTTGGGAAAGAAGGTGTGTGTGTGTGTGTGTGTGTGTGTGTGTGTGTGTGTGTGTGTGTGTGTGTGTGTGTGTATCTTCTTATATATATGTATAGGATGGAATACATATATATATATATATATATATATATATAAAATTAGCTTGTATATCATAATATCTATTCCAGGTCCAGAATGATTATATGTTTATAATTAAATTATGGTGAATTGAAATTTAATTTATGTGAATATAATTAAAATGAATGCTGTGAATCATACAATATCTTCAAAAGTATTTGATTCATTCCATTCAAGACACTTGGGAGAGATGCACAAATTACTCCTCCTTAGATATTACAAAAACCAGAACAGAGAAACTTGACCAGATAGGCACTGAGTTTCTGAGTAACTACCAAGGAAGAAATCCACATGGTACATGTCCCATATCATCCCTGGCCCGTAGCCATCCACATCTTGGCGCATTTGTGTAACCTGGAGTACTACCACTGGAGCCAGTCGCCGGAAGCAGAGGGACTTGTAGCCGCACTTTCCAAACTTGGCAACGCCCCAGATGAGACCTACCTCAACCCCATCCGGACCTTCCACACAGTGAGTTCTCCTCGCATGCTACCTGGCTGCTCATCCCCCAGATTCTTCCTTTTCTGATCCCTTTATCAGGAATACTGTATTTCAAAAGCTTTTACTGAAACAAAAAGCTAGAGAGGTTTTTATGCCAAATGCTAACATCAGTTTCACCTTTTAAAAAAGTTATTTTCTTCTGCCATCAATGTTGCTGAGAAGTTATGAACAAGAAGAAAAACCGATGCCACTTAATTAGTTTATAGCAAAAAATAGTAAATACACCTAAACAAGAAATGCAATAACCTGTTAAAACCCTAACATTTAAATTTTTTTAAGTAGCTCATGATTAGATATTTTTTTGCCTATGTTAGAATCATAAAGAATGTGAAGTACCATCTAAATTCAGGGAGGAGGAATTGGATGTCTTCATTCTCAGTTTGCAGATTGTTTTCTGGATCCCTTCTCCTGTGTCATTTTTGGCACACAGGTGACTAGCTAGTTTGGCAAATCTGATGCTGGGCAAAGCAGCTAATTCCAGAATAAGACCCGCATGGCCAGTGACATCATTAATGCTAATTAGCTGTGTGCCCATGTGGGAAACAAAAAAGAATACCCAAAGTGTAGCCACAGAAAGCCATCTGTAAAGACTAAGACATTTCTCTCCTTTAATCCACCCTCTACCTCTCTTTTCCTGATTGATTTAAACTTTTGCCATGTACTACCTACTATATTGGAACATGTATCCAGCAAGTTGACGAAGCTCAAAAATCTGTACTGCCCAAGGAGAGCCCTAAGACAATACTCTCCAGAATGGAAATTTCTCCACTACCATCTGGGCCATCCCTTTAAGTGACCCTTTTGCCCACGCAGCCTGATTTGAAGAAGCAAAATTCAAAGTCTCTTTTTGGGGAAATTCTTCCATGTCATGTCCTCTAATTATCCTAAGATGATTTTGAAAAGCAGGCCACTGATCAAGTAGAGCTACATTTTCTTAGCTGACAACAATTAGAAGCTACAGATGCCCTAAGCTTGTGGGAATGGAATGCCTTTGGTGTACTCATCTGAGCTGCAGGATGTGTCTGGGCACCTACTGGGGTTAACTCTTTTCCCCACTAAGGCTCTGGAAAATTCATTGCAATACACACCCGAGAATAAATCTCAACATTTTGAAGAGACTATGTAATAAATAGCACTTATTATAAATATTTTTAAAGCAATTTAACAAGATGATTAAGCTACTCCCTATATGGTTATTTTGTAATTTTAGAAGCAATATACTATTTAAGTACTAATTAAGTTCAGGAAACCCTCTAATTTGGGATATTTAGAGAAAGATGGGTATCAGTAACACAGTGTGTACATTACAGAGTATTTCTAAAGAGACACGGTGGAATTGTTTAAGACAAATCATTGCAACTGAAACCAGTCTATAAATATGTCATGACAAGAGGGAAGTGGGGATTTGCTTTAATAAGCAAAGAAGAATGATTTGTAATTAGCACATCATATGATGTAAATGGATTTCTAAAATGCCTGGGTACACTTGAAAAAAGTCTTTTAAATGTTGTACACATACCCCTTTCAATTTTATTTCCACTGTTTGCTCTGTGAAGAAGAAATAAACAACAGAGAAGTCCCTGTCCAAATTACCTTAAGATCTCAAAGCAGCCCAAATTAATGAGATTTTACTGACAAAAGATATAGTGTGAGTTCACTGAGCTCATTGTTGTCTCAAAGATAGTAACACAATGTGTGAATACTAATGACTTGGCCAGAATATGGGAAACTCACAATAAAAACAAAATGCTTTGTGATTCACATTCTAAAAAGCTATTTAATCAACCTCTGCATTCACAGGGCAGAATTCTGGCCTTTTGGCAGGGTCTGTCTGATAAGGAGAGCTGTATCTTTATTGATCACCTGGGACTTACAAAGCCTTATTCCAAGCCTCCTGAGGTAACTTGAAAGAAATGCAAGTCATGGTCCTTCCAATTAAAAAGCGAGAGCAAGGAATAACCGCCAGGGGAACAGAGTGTGCAGCTGCTTTGTTAGGAATGCCCCTGAGGGACCTCTCCAAAACAGTGTTTATTAATGTTAAGATGCAATTAAGCATCGACATTCTTATTTTAAAAATTAAAAACTTGAAACTCGGCTTTATTTTGCAGTATTGTATCTTAAAATGCATTTTCATATATTGTCCTAATTTCAATTCAACATAATAATTTTGACATGACAATTGATTTATACAGATGGAAAAATAAATGTAGTTAACAAAATGGCATTGGGCAAAATTTGAGCAGAGTGAATTTCTACCCTCAGGTGGAGTAGAGGAGAGGGCAAGGAAGTTCCTTCTTGAAGTGTATGGGGATGCTTTTCGAGGCTAATATGCTTCTGATGAGAACATTGTGAATTGCCACCTGCTTGGACTCTCAAATATTGATCCTAAAATGGAAAAACAGGACTGAGACATTAATGTCATGGTGCTTGTTTCTTTTAGAACACAATCACTGAGTTGCTAAGGACAGTCGCGGGTATTACTGGCCTGTTGATCTCTCTGGCTTTGATCTTGATCATGACCTCTTCCACCGAGTTCATCCGGCAGGCGTCCTATGAGTTGTTCTGGTACACACACCACGTTTTTATCATCTTCTTTATCGGTCTGGCTATCCACGGGGCAGGGTGAGTCCTTACGGCGTCTTAGAAAGTCTTTTAGATGGAAAAACATGACATTCAAGACTAATGGACACATAGAATGTATGAAAAAAGCACATTCTCTGTGCCAAACACCTTTTTAATAATACTGAAAATAAGCAACGTAGATGGTGAAGGATTATACTTTTCCTAGCTAACTCTGTTGGAGAGTCTTGACATGTATATAAGAATTTTAATGAATGCTGAGTAACAATAGATCTCTGTTTCATTCAGAACCTATTTTCACGATCCAATTTATATGGGATTCGTTGGGATATATATTTTTGACACCCAGAGTTTACTTCTGCTTGACCAAAATCATCCCAGTGTCGGGGAGGGGACAGTGTGTGAGATAGCCAATCTGACCTAGGCTCTGCCACTGGTCTTGAGTGACCATGTGCAAGGCTTTCAATTCCCTGAACCTCAGTTTCCCTGTCTGACCTCTAGGAATCCTTTTTCCTCAAATATCCAATAAAATGCTGTGCTGGCATTCAACACCCACCTGATAACTCTTAATTCCTTCATCAGGAAGCTAGAGCAGCAGCATCTGAAGTATAGCACCTTCAAAGGTAATGTTTTCAATTCTTTAAATATTACCAAAATGGCTCTAGACCAATTAACCAATTGATGTCTGTAAACTAGGTTGTCCCATATTAATTATTTCATAAATTGATGCCCTTTTTTCCCATGTTAAATTTTCAAAGTACATTTATGTATATGCATGATCAATTTGACCTTGAAAACCGTCCTGTCCAATAGAGACGGTGCTGTTATTCCCCATTTCATAAGGAGGAAACAGATGTTCAAAGGGTTAAGTGATTCGCTCAAGATCCCAGGACAAATAAATGGCAGTCAGACCCAAGACACCGGTCTTCAGGCAACCAAACCTTTACTCGTAACAAGCCCTGAAGATTGGGTCTCTACTTTCGTGAATAAACCATTCCTCGACACTTGCAAGACCGTGCCTGGTGATATTGCAAAGCCCTGTATGGCTTGCCAGAAGTTCTTCATCTGCTACCCACACTCACATGATACCATGTCCTGCACCTTGTTTTCCCACCACGGCAGCTGCAGAGTGCAGGGGGGCCGAGTCTCAGAGGTGGGCTCTATTTCTGCCCAGACCTGGAAGGGCAAGCACACGGCCCAAGAGGCTGGATGGCCAAGCAAGTCACACACCACGCGGTGACTGTGGATCCCATGCGGGGCCCTCTGGGAGCTCTTCTCAATCAGCACCTCCCAGCAAGTCAACTGCGTCCTCCAGTCTCCCTCCCACACTAGAAGCACCCCTCATCTCAGCCCTCCACTTCTTGAAGGGGCTCCGAGCGGCTGCCACTGCCTCTGCCCAGTTAAGAGCTCCCCCATCATCTGTCTGCTTGTCTGACACAGACATTGTAGGAGGAAGAATTGCCCCAGGGGTGTATTTTACCCTAAAAAATTGGCCATCCCTCTGCTAACCTTTAGAAACCTAGTCTGTCAATGTTCATATTGATGCTGCTGCCTGGCTAAGGGCTTTTAACTTTAAAATACCTGCAATTGACTCTTCTGAATGTGCCATCCCTCATCCTGACTTTTTGTATTTGGAGGGTGGGGTGGATGGTACGTAGTCCCCAAGCCTTCCACCCCAAAGACTGTCAGGCCTTCCTTTCTCTGCGGCCTCTTCTGCCGGTGCCAGGGTGTTAACCCCTGTAGTTCGCTTGAGAGGCTCTTCATAATTCACATGTGTCTAGAAGAACTCTTCACAAAAATGACACGTGCGTCGCCCTGATCCTTCCTCCCCGGCATTCACGCCCTGGTCCATTGTAGAAGCGCAAGAGGATTTCAATGGGCAGTGTTTCACTGGAGATATTTTTTAATATCCAAATAACATTTCATAAGATGAAATTTTTTTTAGTCATTTTAACTTAGTTGGAAGGCTTATTTTGGGATAAGGGCCTCATTTAATCTTCTCAGCGTGAAGTATTCTACAGCTACTGTTTACAGCAAAAAGTAATTTGCAAATTCTGTACAAAAATGCCAAGTAGGATTATTGGAATGTGTTAAAGCCCACTAATCTTCTTATTTTGGGATGGCATAGATGAAGACATAAAAAGTTTAAAAATTTTTAAAAAGATACCTACTGCATTTGAGAAGTGTTCTGAGGTTCCTTTAGGTAAAATAAGAAATGTTGTCCAAGGCCTGAGAACGAAGGTGTTAAAATTGACAGATTCTTTTCCTCTGGCTCCTATTTTTTATTCACCCTTCCTCTGTCTGGGCATCATTTGCTCATGGGAGATTCACAGATAGTTTTGCTCATCTAACTCAGTGGGATGTTATCAAGTTGGATGACTTCCATAAAACAGACTGGGACAAAGGCCAGGATGGCAGTTCTCCAGGCTGTTTCCAAGGGCATTGCCGTGCCCTCCTCCCAGGCCCTACGATGCAAAAGGAGACATGTTACTCCACAGGCTACCCAGGACCTGAGCTGTGTCATGCTAAATTTTCTCTGTGAGGATCATGTTCCTCAAAAGTTAATCCATGTATTTTACTCATAAACTGCTAGGAATTGAGCAACACCTGGATTACATGACCTCAGCATCACATGCTTCACAGCCTGTGCACCAGTGGGTAAAGGGAGGAATTTGTACCTAAGCGAATTGTCCAGGGTCAATGGGTACTGCATCTATAGCAAATATAATATAGCAGGATCAGAACTTCCCTGGCAGTCCAGTGGTTAAGACTCCATGCTTCCACTATAGGGGGCATGGTTTCAATCCCTGGTCACGGAACTAAGATCCCACATGCTGCATGGCACGGCCAAAAAATGAAAAAAAAAAAAAAGTATATATATATATATATATATATATATATATATATATATATATATATAGCAGTACCACAGGACTCTTGATCCAGTGCTCCATTCACGAAGGTCAGCTTCCTTTTTCACTCTCCAATTCAACAATATCGTCTTGAAGGCACATTTCACACTGACCTATTTTTACCCTGTCAAATACTACGCCTGCTCTCGGTCACTGGCGGGAAAAATACCATTATTCAGGGCACTTCTTTTGACTTCTTCACTTGATAACTTCTAGGTGCTTCAGAAACTTCAGAAACAAACCAGGAAGGGTAGAAGTTCAATAAATTTGCAAAATTTCCAAATAGTACAAAGGTAGCCAATTAGCCCAAATCAGCACTCAGGACAAGACGTAACCTAATTAAAGTCAACAGTCTACAAAAGGATGTGTTCCCACAGTTTCCCTTCATTATTAATTCTCTAACACAGACGCTTTCAGTTTAACACAGGATACCACCGAGGGGTACTTCTTTTCTGGTATCTTCAGAGTTACTCGAAGCTTCTTAAATTCCTATTTTTAAAGATGCTCAGGGAAATACACCCCAGCCCAGATTTCAAGACAGTGGAACTGTTATTGCAGAGTCCGTCGTAGACTATGTATCTGTGGCATCCCAACACTGCACAAAATCAGTTTCAAATTTGGCGGTTTTGTTTTGTTTTGTTTTTAATGGCAAGTCGGATTGTTCGAGGGCAAACCGCTGAGAGTCTTCTGCTACACAACGTCACCTTCTGTAGAGAACACCTCGCGGAGTGGCAGACAGCTGCCCGGTGCCCCGTGCCTCAATTTTCTGGCAAGGAACCTTCGGTAAGAATGAGCCCAGGAGCTTTTAAAAATAGCTGTCGCCACAGTCGAAATAGCTAGAGCTTTTATATGCTTGAAAAAAGAACAGCGCATGTCACCATGAGACAAAGCCAACTCTTTATTAAGTGTGCTAATGGGGAACTGGAGTTATGGATCATTTTACGAGAGGTTGCCTGCCAAAAGCACTTTGTTCATTTTGAAATGTGTTCTTGCACTTACATTTAAATATGGATGGCTGAGAGGGTGGGAATTCAGAGCCCACCCCACCCCCCACCCCCGAAAGCACAGTCCTGTCTCCAGAGGAGTCAGAAAGCTGTTTGGCTCACCTCCCTCTGCACTCAGCTCCCTACCCCCGGAACAACTGCCCTCTCCACTCTGAGAATTAATAGCATCCCTTCCCAAATGAACATTAGGCGACGACCAAATGAGAATCATGCCCTCTCTATAAGCTTGCCTTCTTTCTTTCCACAACTTTCGAGATGGAAAAAATTGAGTTTACGCGCATTTACTTCCTGTTCTAATTAAGCTTTTACTACTGAAATAATGAGAATATTAGCCCCAAATAGACTTAACTAGAGTAGACGATAATGTCCACAAGATCTCAAAAGTAAGATTTCCAGGGTATGCTGTAAGCATGACACTTGGTGGCGTAGATAGATAGAAATAGTGATTCTCTTTGGTATCCTCACAGGTCTTAGAACAATGCAAACCTTGGGGCAGCTGGGTAATGCATGAAGGAAAGTAAATAAAGCCAGCAGATTAAAACAAGGAGGAAACAAGTACCAAAAAATATGTACCATTAAACAATGGGAAGATAGTTTTCAGTATATAAATGGTGAGGATTCGGGAAATTATGTCATCAGCATATGAAGAATATAATGATTGACTTTTTCGAAAATCCCTAACTCTATTAAATTAAGCGCTGGATTTTAAGAGTGGAAACAGCTAGGAAGAATGTTTAAAACCGAGAGAAGTGGAATGGATGTGTCCATTAGACTGTGGTTCTTTTAATGGCCGGTATAGATTGCCTCTGTCTTAAACCCAACCATCGGGAGCCACTACCCAGCCTGCATATTAATGAGGAGCATGAATGCCTCACTAAAATGTTCAGCTACAGTGTCTCCATAAAAAAATCAATACTCTCCCACACCTCATGAATACAGACTAGAGCCTGCTCCCAGAAGCGTGTGCTGACGTTAACTATCATGAGAAGGGGGGAACGTACCCACCTCCCTGTTCCCTCTCCTCTGCTATACTTCCTTGCACACCCAAACTCAGGTTGTCACTCTTTCCCATTATTTTTAATGGATCCTGATTCAAAGCGTGTGTGGGCTCTGCAATTACCGCTTGGCTGAGCTGTACGATATTCTCTCTGATGTCTTAGAGACGCTGAATCCAAAAGGCATCCCAAGGACAAGTGCCCTCGCTTCACTGCACCACACCTACCCCGTCTTTGCAGGAATCCATCTCTTCCTCTTTGCCTCTCTTAACTCGGTGCATTTTCACGGTGCTTTTCTCAATAGAATATTTATCAGTTCACCTTTAGGGGTGTACTACTCCCACGGTAGAGCTAAGGATGCTTTGTACATCACTTCATATAAACTGAACTGATCAAAGGAAACAGTTATACTTTGCAATCCCCTTTTCCCCCACTTGTCTCACTCCCCCTCTCTACCCAAACTCACAGACACATGCAAGACTCCAGACTCTATAGAATTCCTCATGCAAAATCCATCCCAAAAGATGCCTTGGTCTTCCTTAGCCAAAGAAGCACCTTAGTTCATTTAACTGCAACATTAACAAATCATAATAGTAATAAGACGGGCACTTTTTAAATTACTAGGGAATGATGTCAGTGGTATAGGAAAAAGCTTTAACTGAGGTAGAGTCAATTCAGCAAACTTTTGCCGAGTGGTTATTATATTCTTGGCATCGCAGTAGACGCAGGATTCAGGGATGTGGTTTCCGCTCCTGGAAATCTTATTGTCTAGAAAAAGAGGCCATTCATAAACACATACATAAAATAAAATCAAAGCCAGCATGTTCTTATTTCTGGTAGGAATGAAAAACCAGGAGTGAAAGTGGAGGAAACAAGTTTCATTACTGCAGCTTTTAAATCAACATGGTTTTATTTCTATCATAAAATACTCACTGTACCATGACTTTTTGAGTATTTTTAGAGAAGAAAAAATAAAGCTAAAAATCCACAGGTCTTTTAACATTAAAGAAACTTAGATACTAAATAGACCTGACCCTTTATTTAATAGATGGAGAAATCGAGGTCCAAGGAGCTTTTATTTCTTACCTATGGTCACAAAGGGCATTCCTAGCAAAATCACATCAAGGAGCCAGAGCTCCTAACTCTGTGGCCATGAACTTTCACCTCTCTACTCTTCGACATTCATTCTGAATCTCTGGCCTCCTTCCACTCCTCATTTTGTCATCTCTCTGCTGCTATCTACAGCTCTATGACCCCGACATTGTGTTTATCTCTGTGAGTAGAACTAAAACATATAAGAGCTTGGAGGGAACCCAAATAATAATTTCCTTCAATTCTCCCATTTTATAAAGCAGAAAATTTGAACATAAAAATACCCAAGATTTTCCTAAAGGCATAGGGTGAGGGATGGTTACCCCAAGACCAGAAGCCAGGTCTTCTGGGACCCAGTCCAAGTTCTACCTTGCCCCTCCCGCTCTGGGCCGTGTCTCCTTCTTGTTTTTACTTGCTCTTGCCTATCCTGGTCATCACTGCCAGGATATTTATCTTTGAATATTCATCTCTGGCCATCCTCTCCCCCCATTCCTACCTTCCAGGGGCCCCAGGAGTATCACAGTGTAACTAAACTGGGCTTTCTCCTCCTGGAGCAATTTATATACTAGATAGAGATAGAGCCAAGGATTAATAGCTTACATTCTCCTCCCTGACTAACCGTACAAAGAAAAATAATCCGTTCCATTTTGTCAACATGGAAAAAGCAGAGAGCATGACTGACTTGACACCAACAAAATGAAGTGTATGATGTCGCAAACTTTCTAAAATGGGTGTGGAAGATTCCTTGTAAAATTACATAGAAACTATGGGAGTGTTTTTGCAAATCTCTCTCTAAGCTCATACAGAAAGAATTGCATCCTTGTTATCATTTCTGTAAATATCCAAGCCAACTCTCAAAATATTTTTTGGTTCATTCGAGCATAAGAGACCTAAGGATTCACTGCTTTGGTCCAACCGCATCCTTCATGTCTACCCCTTCCTGCCTCATCCCTTACTCTGATCATCATCCTTACCTCACCCACAGCATAGGTGGACAGAAGGGTTTATTCTCTCTGCTATTCTGCACACATTGCTGAACCCCACTGAGGCAGAAAAGAATAAGTGGGTCAAATTGCTTTGTGTTGCCTACATAAATCGAGCCTTTGTCAGGCAAACAAGAGACTCCCAGGGAAAAAGCACAGAAGGTTGATGTAGGTGAGGAAAAGTGCAGTGCAAACAGACCTAGAAATAAACAAGAGAGATGTAGAAGAAACAGGAAAGACAACAGAAGCAAAAATGATGCTGAGGGGCTTGTGTCATCATGTCAACAGAAAAGACAGAGAAGGATAATAGATAGGGGAGTAGTGAACAAGGAAGGTGATGAGTCCGTCGGTGAGGTTTTTAGTGAATATCTGAGTTCAAGAGAAGGGGACACCCTTTCTGTTCCTGAGATAGGATTCTAAGAGTAAGGTCGGTGGATTTAGAATTCCAAGGAGGGAATTCGGGGAAGTTAGGAGAAGGCTTGGGTTCTAGTCCTGGCTCTCTTGGGACCGCCTTCTGTGTCCCTAGGCAACTCATACTCATTCCCAGAACGTTATGTTATTTCTTCTTTAAAAGAAGGACTAGACTAGATATCCAAGAACGCTTATCCTCCTAAAATTCAATGAATTAATGAGTCTCTAATAGTTTGTAAAATACGTACCCTTTCTAATGTCAGCATTGGACAGAAAGAAGCATGATAACATGGGAAGAGCACAGGCTGGGTGGTCAAGACCAGTTCATGTCTTCACTGTGCACCTTGTTTATCACCTTTGTGACCCCGGACAATTTGTTTCATCTTGCTGAGCCTTAGTTTCCTTTTCTGCAAAATAAAGAGAATATCATATGCCTCAGAAGGTTGTTTGATATCAAACCTAGATATCAAATCTTCAAAAATTTTAAGTTGCCATTCCTTGCCTTTTAGGGGAAGCACACACCTAATGCTGTAACTCAACCCATGGTACAAGAGTGGCCTGCTGGTAAACTGACCCTCAGTAAGGCAAATTATACTCATAAAAGGTTAACACAGAATGGGGAAGTTCCCTGTCAAAATTCTCCAGACAAGTGTTGAAGCTTTTGCTCTGATTCTGTAAACCTAGATTTAAAGTGTTGAAAACTGGGGACTTCCCTGGCATTCCAGTGGTTAAGACTTCGCTTTCCAATGCAGGGGGTGTGGGTTCAATCCTTGGTTGGGGAGCTGTGATCCCACATGCCTCGTGGGCAAAAAAACCAAAACATTAAACAGAAGCAATATTGTAACAAATTCAATAAAGAAAGACTTTTAAAAAAATAAAGTGCTGAGAAACTAAGTTTGTTTTATTCCATATAACATTGGCTGCACGCATGTGTATGAGTGGGAGTGGGAGGGTGGGTGTGTGAGTTGCTCTAGGCAGATCCCCCAAGTTGTGATGCATTGTTGGCCCCCAAAATTACTGTTCGAAACATTTTTTATTGAATTTTCGTGTCCTATTAACTCAGTAATGTAGTTTGTAAGCCTTTGACTTTGGCTGAGTTTGGGAGCATTTATGACCCTATCATATATGACATAAACATCAATCTGCTTTCTATTTCTTTGCAAATGCAATTATTTCTAATTACATAAAAGCATCACTGAGCAAGTAAGCCTAAAAACCAATACAGAAGGGTTTAGTCTCTTAAATAAGCTTGTAGACTTCAAGGAATAATTGAATGTTATAGCATTTAATACAAGGAGATATCTTTGTTGTTGACAACTGGCCCAAACTTAAAGGAAAATGTCTAAACTCCGTCATGTTACATATTGATTGGTTCAAATTGGAAATATTTGGATTCTATTTTCATTTCCTTTTCCTCTCTCTCTGCAGGCTTGGAAATGGGTTTTAGGCCCTGTGGTCTTGTATGCGTGTGAAAGAATACTTAGGTTCTGGCGATTTCAACAAGAAGTTGTCATTACCAAGGTATGCATGCAGGTTTATGTCTGGATAAAAACCTGAGTGTAGATGAAAATTTTTTATTAGCCCAAGTTTTTAATTTGCCATTTTTATTGCAGAACCATCTGTAATTTAGAGGCTCATCTTCTGTTCTAATAATTTCTTGTATCCTGTGCATCTTTTAGTGAGACTAATTTTACTGAAGACAGGGAGCAGGGCTCTGACTGGTACACAGAATTCTGATAAGGGTTATGGTGCAGCCCTGGAGTCATCTGTATTTCTCTTTATTTCGGTGTCTCTCTAGGGGGAAAACGCAGGAGGGCTGAGTATGCTTTACATGGGTCATAGTGACTTAGAGTATAATCACTTCCTCCACAGCATAAAAATACGAACGTTGCGAACACGCAAATAATGTTCACATATTTTCAAATACACACACTCTCACTTGGAACCACTCAACAGAAATGCGGGAACAGTCACCCTCAGGTTCAAAGGGAGAAAGGGCACTGGGGGGGTTCAAAATGGAGAGGAAGGGCCCTGCCCTAAGGAATGAAGGCACGGTGGTAATATTTTCCAATCTTGCCCTCCCTCCTCACCGCTCTCCAATTTTTACCTCGTGCTGGAGGAAGACCTCAGCAGATAGATCAAGAATACGTGCCTAGGAGGACTTCCCTGAAGGTCCAGTGGTTAAGACTCCATATTTCCACTGCAGGGGTTCAATCCCTGGTTGGGGACCAGGATCAGGCATGCTGCGCGGTGCAGCCAAAAAATGTTTTAAAAAAGAATAAATGCCAAGGAGACCGAAAGCCTAGCCCAGACTCTCCCCCTAGTTGTTTCAATCTCTTAAAAGAAACTCTCTGCTAACCAAACCCATGCAGCTTTGCGAATACAATATTAACAGAATACTCTGTCTCTTTAACTGTCTTCATGAACGCAGATGCACAGAAATTGCTTCATATTTCTGTTTTAAACTGCTTCCCTGTTGCTGTTTTTAAGTTAAGCACCAAAGGATATCAAGCTGTATCAAGAGCCAGACAGTAAAACTTCTGGAAATCTACTCGAGCTGTTACTAGGGAGACCATTTAACAGCAGAATCAGAACGAGTATCAGTAGGGAGAGGAGAAACTAATGATTAAAATGCTGTGAAATTCTCTTCTGAATGGAAAAATACTGTCACAGTATCTAGACACTAGATTCTGCCCCCTTATACCTCCTGCCACAAAAGAAGACGTGGGGGCCTGGAAACAAGAGGGAGGTCTAAGAAGGGAAATTAGTTCATTGTCTCTGATAAGTAGCAAGTTATAGAGCTCTTTAAAAAGGAACAGCCTTTGCATCACGCTTTCTTACATCTAAGACTCAGAGCCTAGGTAGGAGATTGGACGAGACTTGACTAAAACCAAACCAAATGAATAAAACATTTCAGAGTACGAAGGCTGTTTTTTACACAGAATGGAGAAATACCAGGGTTAGTTCACAAAGAAGCAGGAAAAGATGCACATCATTGAAAATAGTAACAAACTGGACCTATATTTTAAAACACGAAGTTGATTCTGTGGCTATTTTGATAACTTTAAGCATGATTAAGTGCTGTGGATGATATGCTAGTTTATATTCTCTTGGGCCTGAAATTAACTGTGCTATCGAAATAGTGGCCACTTGGGACAAACAGTCACGTGCTGGACACCACTTTGCCCCTGGATGCAGCTACCCAAATTTCCTACCTAGCGCGCTGAAGGAGGTCAATGCCGTTTGTGCTGGAGTTGCCATCACTTTCATGTCCGGGTTGGAACGATTCTTGAAAACTCATAATGCATGGTCTATGTCAATCCTACCTCAGAAAAGTTGATATAAAAATTTTAAAACCTTTGATGGAATGAAGGCCATTGTCTTCGTATTTAACCTGAGTGAAAGAACCAGCACCTCTCTTGCTGTGATTTAGGTGGTAAGCCATCCATCTGGAGTGCTGGAACTTCACATGAAAAAGCGTGACTTTAAAATGGCACCGGGGCAGTACGTCTTGATCCAGTGCCCGTCCATATCCTCGCTAGAGTGGCACCCCTTCACCCTCACCTCCGCTCCCCAGGAGGACTTCTTCAGTGTGCACATCCGGGCAGCAGGAGACTGGACAGAAGCTTTATGCAAGGCCTTTGGGGCAGACGGACAGGCCCTGAAGGAGCCCTGGAGCCTGCCAAGGTGGGAGCCCATTTCTTTTTTATGTGTAAGTTAGAATATTATAAAAAATAAGGTCCTTTAGTGCATCAACATGCTAACAACTTCTGCAATATCTTATTCTGTATGGTAAATTTGAATCCATTTATAAAATTTGAGACTCTCTATTAAAAAGATATAACTCAGCAGATTTCCATTTGGAGCAAGTACATTTCTTTAAAAAACAAATGTTCAAGACAGGTGATGATCCAGGGAGAGGAAACATTTTGCTTTCCCAGGTCCAAAACATCACTTTGGCAAATTATAAACAGCTTGTGATGAGTAAGGCAGCCCGGTGAACTTTTTGCTGTCACGGTCCGAGGTTTTTCAATTGTATTTGTAAAGTTTGGTCTTCGTAAAAAGGATGCTTTACAGTCCAAATTAACCTGGCAGCCTCCATACACTGGAGAAAGAGCTAAACGATTAGACTAAAGCTCAGAAAATGACAAAATAATCTGAGAATCAAGAAAGTTAGTGGTGGTGTGCAATGTCAGTCCCACATGTGTGATTGCAAAAAGTATTAATTAACCTCCACTGTGTGCCAGAAATACAAAGATGGCAAAACATTGCCTCCATTCTCTAGGACTTCTGAAATCAACACTGGTGTGCAAACAAATGATTTAATTTTGCTACAAGGATGATGGGTAGACCTGAGAAACTGGAATAACACTGATACCATATGTAGTTTCCTGGAGTTGTCGTAACAAAGTACCATGAACCAAGGCCTTAAAACAACAGAAGTGTATTCTCTCACAGTTCTGGAGACTGCAGGTCTGAAATCTCGGTGTCAGCAGGGCCGTGCTCCCTCTGAAAGCTGTAGGAAGGATTCTTCCTTAGCTCCTCCCAGCTCCTGGTGGTTTGCCAGCCATCCTCGGCGTTCCGAGGCTGCGGCTGTGACCGTCCAGTCTCTGCATCTGTCATTACATGTTGTCCTCCCCTCTTGTGTCTGTGTCTCTGTGTTTCTGTGGTCCCTTCCTGCAAAGACACCAGTCACACTGGATTAAGGGCCCATCTTCCTGGATGACCTCATCTTAACTTGATTACATCTGCAACAATCCTATTTCCAAATAAGGTCACATCGGAAGAGAGGATTTCAGCATATCAACTGGACTAAACAATTGAATCCAAAACAACATCCTATTCAGAAAAGCCTGGGCATGCGACAGAAGTCCCAGTGTCCTTGGCTCCTTTTAGTAAACAATGGCTTAGAATTGATTCCCACTCCTGCTGCAGGATTACACAATAAGCACTCAAAGCCCATGTTTCGGGACCCAGAAAAACAGGGACACACACAAAAAAATGTTGAGAAAAACTTTGTGAAGGAATTTGATATTTCAAAAGAAGCATCAAGACATCCCCTCTTCTGCCATCCTTGGAGGGTATCAGGAACTGCCAAGCAGGTGACCACAGCTACAAGACTTCAGGTGGTGAACCCAGTAAGGACACACTTAGAATGGAACTTCCTAAGGGCAAGAGGTTGTCCTCCTCTATACGTCCCATGCCTAGAACAGTGTCTGACACGTAGTGGATACAGAGTAAATATTTGATGAGGAATGAATACCTGGACCCAAGATGGACGCTTCAACTCATTTAATTTAACAAATATTTACCGGTGGTAAACTAGGCACCAGAATAAATTTAAGGCACAGAATCTACTCAGCTTATTGTCCCTCCTCTGTCTTCCCATGGGACACTGAACTGTGACTACGTAGCACTGGGCTTGCTTGTGTTGAGTGGGTGGGAAGAGCCACAGTCTTCATTTCAAACACTGGTACTAAAGAGCAATGTGATGATAAACCAAGTACAAACATCATCTATTCAGACGAGAGCCCCAAGTCACAAGACAACATCTGACTATTCCATTAAGACCTTATCCTTTTTATCATGGAAAGGAAGCCGTGTAACAGAATTCTGAGGTTCAGAGTGTAGTGTGAATGCTTAAAATCAGGAATGAAAGTAAACACACATACACACACGCACATGCATGCACACACACAGGTCCCAGCCCTCCCTTGGCATTGCCAAGGTGGATACCTTCATCCTGTTTGCTAGCCTGGTTTCTGCTCTGAGTGTATACAGTCGTCCGGCCTATCGACCAACCTTCCTCTTCACAAACCAGCTCTCATTTCAGCCAGTCCCCCAACAAGAGCTCGGGAAGTGTTTCTCCGTAGTCGGTATGCTTGCTTTCTTTTTGTTTTATTGAAGTAGAGTTGATTTACAATGTTGTGTTAGTTTCAGGTGTACAGCAAAGTGATTCCATTTTACATATATACATATATCTATTTCTTTTAGATTCTTTCCCCTTAGAGATTATTACAAAATACTGTGTATAGTTCCCTGTGCTATACAGTAGGTCCTTGTTGGTTATCTATTTTATATACAGTAGTGTGTACATGTCAATCCCAACCTCCTAATTTATCCCTCCCCCACTTTCCCCTTTGGTAACCATATGTATGTTTTCTATGCCTGTGGGTCTATTTGTGTTTTGTATATAAGTTCATTTGTATCTTTTTCTTAGGGTTCCACATAATATCGTATGATACTTAGCATGCTTTTATCTCCAGAGTGCATCTTCAGCGCAAGGCCTGACATGATCTGGCCCCCAGACCTCCCTGGGCACCCCTGCTGCACCACCTGCTCCCTCGCTCACTCAGCCACTCTTCCAGCCTCTTGCTTCCCTCCCACACCAAGCACACTCGCCTCAGGGCCTTTGCCGCTGCAGCTCCCTCTCCCTGGCACACTCTTCCCCCGGTCTCTGCTTGGCCGCCCCCTCACTGCCCCCAGGTCTCTGCTCTAATGTCTCCTAATGAGACCTTCCCTTCCCGTTTCCTGTGATCCAGCAACCCCGACAGACACTCCACACTCGTCGTGATCACTGTGCCCCGCGCCTTACTTTCTTCCTCTCCACCTGACACACTAAATACCTGGTTGTTTATTTGTTTACCATTTATCTCCCCACACGAGAATGGGGACTTTATCTCTTTGATTCACTTTGTTGTCCCCAGTGACCAGAACGGGCCCTAACTCTCAGCTGGCACTCAATAAATATTTACCAGGTGAATAAAAATGAGTTGTTGTACACAGTGCAGCTTCCCTTCATTTGTTAACTTCGTTTGACCTCTGCCTCTATATATGTGTAGGCATAAGAAACCCCCCAAAACCTAGAATTTGTTTAAATCTTCAGCACATGACAAATCAGAATCTTATTGAACTTCCTTCGATGATTTTACCTCTCATCATTGTTTTAATTTTGGATTAAACGGAACAGTTTAGGGAGAGTACCATAATTTTTCACTGCTTTGCACCCAGAAAGGATTTAATCCAGTCCCAGGAACCTGTGAGACAAGCAGTGACTGAGGACCCCAAGAGGACATGCAAAGCTTAGTGAAGAGCAGGGAAGTTCTTCCTCTGAACTCAGGAAAAAGGACAATGAAGCTCTTTTAAAAGACTTTGCATTAGCAGATACACACTACTGTATATAAAAGAGACAAACAACAAGGACCCACTGTATAGCACAGGGAACAGTATTCAATACCTTACAATAACCTATAATGGAAAAGAATCTGAAAAAGAATAGATATATATGTATGTATCACTGAATCACTTTGCTGTACACCTGAAACAATGTAAATCAACTATACTTCAATAAAAATAAATAAATAAAATAAAAGACCTCACCTTCTGAAGTAAAATGGAGGAATTTCTCAGAGTCTGTGTTAGAGTTTTTAGCGATTTAATCTACTGCCCAGAGCCAAGGGTTCCAGCGTCCGACAGCCTGGGTTCAAAGCCCAATTTTGCATGGGATCTTGGAGGATGTATGTAACACCTGCCTCAGTTTCCTCATCTGTAAAATGAAGATGACAGTAATAGTACATAGGTTCTGTTTAGGATTAAATATGACAGTCCATATGAAGCCCTTAGCATAATGCATAGTAAAAAAAAAAAAAAGTTAGCTACTATTGTCATTGGCAAAATAAGAAAGGTCATCTACCACAGAGTTGACAGTGAAAGTGCTGATGACACAGGAGGGACAACGTGGATGAATAAAGTTCATGGGTTCAGAGAGACAAGACGGGAGGTTGATGAGGTGGTGGGTGGTGCTGCTGACAGGAGCAGCAAGGGCCAGGTGATGTGGCTGCTGGAAAGGGGGCTCACTTCTAAGCTGCTTTATTAGAAACTGTATCCACATCAGACAGGAAGTAACTGAGTGAACTTGACAAATGAGAATTTGTGCAAAAGAAGCCAATTCAACATTGTGAGAGATGGAGATATTTTGGTCCAAAAAAGAACAGTTGGGGTGTCATGATATCTAGATCAACTAGTTTAAGGGTTGAGAGGCAGGAAAGGGAAAACACCTGGTTTGTTTCTCAGGCAGGCAAAAGGCATGAGTTGTCAGAAGACAGATCCCAGTGAGACAGGAGGAAAACCTGTCTAATACTTAGCCCTCCCTGCCCCTCTATGGAACAAGGGGCCCTACAATTTCACGTGGGAAAGTGATTAGTGATCAGGGATGTGAAAGGAGGGAATCTCTGTATGAACCAGGAGGTAGGACTCAATATTTCCTCCTGCTGCTTCCAGCTTAGGTTCTCAATTTTAATTATGTAGAAATTTGTTTATTATGCACTTCTATGAATTATATGACACAATTCTTCTTTGGGTTTAATTGTTACCGTTTAAAATCAGTGTCAAATAAATCCCAAATACAACTAATTATAAAAACAATTAACAATAAGACACTTTAATCGTGGACCGTTTCATATTTATTCTCTTTCTCTCAATTCCCCTTATCTAATTATTTATAAAAGAATCTACCGTGGGCTGAGATACTAACCCTTTCTGATTAATGACCTTTTATTTTTATTCTTCTATTTCCATATATCAATATGTAATAAAGCCTTATTAATTAAGATAACTTGAGGAGAGTTAATTTGAATTGTTAGGAGGTCTGGCATATGGAATATTTTAAAATAAACCCAATTGAACTTTCATGAACACATAGTAAGCCCAAAAGGGGCAACCTCGGGTGCCTTCAACAGACACTCCTTAGGGAATGGTTATGAATAACTTAGAAGCGTCTTAATTAGCATATCTTTGTTCATATGTAAATGTGTGCTTTTGGAATAGTTGAGGTTATTTAATACATTCCGTTGACTGAAATATTTTAAACATTCCCTTTACAATTTATTCAATAAATTGTTATTGAACAGCTCCATGTAAGGTGCTGGGATGCAGTGGTGGGCAAAGACAGACATGGTCCCTACCTCTGCAGACCTGAGAGTCTAGTGACCAAACAGACACAAATTAAGTCATGCACACACACACACACACACACACACACCACCCAAAACAACTATAAAATTACAACTGTGATAAGGACTACAGAGGAGAGATGCATGGTGTTATAAATTATCTAAGAGGGGATTTAACGTAGTCTAAGAAATCCATGAAGACTTCCCCAGAGAAATGATAATTGGGATGAGACCTAATGGAAGGGTAACTATGAACCAAATAAGAGGATAGGAGAGAACTTGGGGCAGAGCATTCCAAGTGACTAGTTGGATTATCATGTGCAAAGGCCCCTTAGCCAAAGAGGGTCCTGTGTACGTTAAGAAACAAAAGAAAAACCAGTGTGGAGAACTGGCCATGAGAGATGGAGCAGAATCCGGGGTCAGTCCATTTAGGACCAAGTTAAAGACAGTTGCACTTATTCAATGAATATGCATTATCCTTATAAAGAAAAATTTGCTAAGCAAAGAAGAAACATCAGTGCAACCCCTGGCCTAATTATCACAGATTTTTGAGTTCGCATAATCTAAAATAATGAGTTTTAGAAATTCCACACAACTGACAAATTATTCCAAAATTATGTTTATTCCAAATGAATGGCTTCCATTAGACTAAAATTATATAAACATACGAAGAGGTGGGAACGGGGAGAATCATATTAGCAAAAGGACAGATAAGCCTTCTAAGCCACCTTGATGATTCTGTGTTTTCCCTCTGAGGGCAGATGGGAAAAAAAAGGAAAAGAAAAGGCATCTTCTACCAATCTTCATGATGCTTGAAGGCAAAACAAACTCTTAAGAACTGTAAAAAAGAGCTGTGCCATAAGGCCGGCCACCACAGCCCTACACTATGTGTGTCCCAATAGGGCATTCTCAAGCACAGAGCCAACTTCCCTGCACGCATTTGCTACCACATCCTATACAAAGCACGCGTTTAGGATGGCTTTGTTTTCAAGAGCGGAGTGTTCTGAATGTCAAACGGCACACCTTGTGATTGCAGGCTGGCGGTGGACGGGCCGTTCGGAGCTGCACTGACAGATGTGTTTCACTATCCAGTGAGCATGTGCATTGCCACGGGAATAGGGGTCACTCCCTTTGCCGCTCTTCTGAAATCTATCTGGTACCAATGCTGTGAGTCACAAACCCAGTGGAAGCTGAACAAGGTATGGAAAATATCATCAGCTTACCCTTCCATGAATTCAAAGGTTCAGCATCCTTCTATCTATCATCTGCCGATTCCTGGGGAGGGTTTTAATTAACTATGAGGGATAAACTCAAGGATCCTTAACCATACTTATGTTCTTAAAAATCTCCATTCAGTATTACATTTATGAGAAGGGTTATGTCTAATCTTGTTAAAGATGACAAGACATAAATTTTATTGCTTCGTTGCCATTACAGGACATGTAATTGCTCATGTCAGTAAAATATGGACAGGCTGCAAATGGCTATGTGACTGCGCTGCAGTGAGTACTATTAACAGGCAGCCTTAGACTCGAGCTTGATACTGTGGTTGCAAGTGTACTATTCAATATCTTCATCTCATGGACTCGGGGTCTTAACTGAGAAGCAAAAATGCCACAGTTGGGATTCATTTGTCTGCTTGCCTGGTGTTGCCATCCAGCTCCAAATCTCCTTTTTGTCATTTCTTGTATGTTCTCTGACTAGCTGCCTCCATGGTTCCCTTGCTCCCTTTGTGCATCCCATGTTTTAACCCTCTTAGGATCAGCAACAGACACTAGAGCAGCAGGAGAAAGGGAGCCATGCTAACACTAAATGGTGTCAACTCAGGAGGGCCAAGGACATCGGGCAAACTTGGTTCTGGTCCTGGTTCTGCCGCTTCTCTGACTGACACTTTGGCTGCAGTTTCCTCGTCTATCCCAGGAAGATGCTTGATTAAGTCAGCATGTCTATGGGACGTTAGTCATATGAGAAGGTCCACTAAAGAGAATTGTGTAGTGAAATGATTTCAGAAATGCTGTCACAGATCCCCCTTTAGAAGATTCACATCTTCTATTAGCCTATTAAATAAATTCTGCAGAAAGGAAACTCATTCAGTTTCATTTCACCCACCCTTCCCAAGCATATTTAGCCATGGAAACTTTCTTCGTCTATCATTCTTTAAGAAATGGCACTTTGCGAAGCACTGGGGCAAGGCCAGAAGGGAAGAGCTCTACAGGTGGGCTTTCTCAACCAACAAATTAGAGTAAAATTAGCTATCATTTCATGAGTTTCCAAGTGACAGGCGCTTGACATATGTTTTTTCATTTTATTTTTATAATCTTCCCAACAACCTTAGAAAGTAGATAGCACAAGCTCTGTTCTCCAAATAAGGCCTCTGAAGCTTTAGAGACACTAAAGTCACTTTCTTGAAAATACACTGTTAATGAAGGGCAAAATCAGGGTTCGAACTCAGGTGCATTTGGCTCTTTGGTTTGACATAACCAACACATGGTAGACATGGCTTCCACCTACTGTATTGTAGGAAGATTGTGGGATTCCTGGTCAGAGAATCTACCTCAGCCTGATTCCACCCTCACTAGAAGCATCACCCTGAGTGCATCAGTTCACCTCTCGGAGCTAGGTTTCCTGATATACACGATGGAGAAATAAGAGTCCATATCCATCAGGGAGTTTTAATACCAAATAAGACAAATAAATAATGTAGAAACATTACTGTATAAATGTGTATAAGATTATATTAAATGTGTATAAGATTATAATTAAATTAATTATATCTGCCAAAGATATAAATTACTAGTACTAACACTAATAGCCTAGATTAATCAATCATTGACTACCTAGAAGGCAGGGAGTTAGGCATTTTACACATACTATCTCACATCATCTTTACTTACCACTTGCCCATTTTACAGATGAGAAAACTGAAGCTGGATCACAAAGCTAATAGGAATGATAGAATCATATCATTGAATTGTTATAATACCTCTTTCAGATAAGTAGTATCCTCAGACTACCAGTGAGGAAACAGAAGCACAGAGAGCTAATAAATATCAGAATGAGAGTTTGAACCCGGGTTCTTCTTAAGCTAAATCCCATCTTCTTTCCTTTATACCACAATAAGATTAACCAAGTGTTTTAGTCTGTTCGGGCTGCTATAGCAAAATACCATAGATGGGGTGGTATACCATACATACAACAGAAATGTATTTCTCCTACAGTTCTGGAGCCTGGGAAGTCCAAGATCAATGCACCAGCATCAGACTTGGTGTCTGATGAGAGCCCACTTCCTGGTTTATGGACGGTCATCTTCTAGCTCTAACTTTCCACTGCAAAAGAGGGCAAGTTTTTTGGACACTGATGGGCACTAATCCAATTCAAGAGGGCTCCACCCTTATGACCTAATCACCTCCCAAACTCCCCACCTCCAAATACCATCACACTGGGGACTAGATTTCAACATATGAATTTGGGGCGGGGGCACAAACATTCAGTCCAGGGCACAAAGCAAGCAAAACAGACACTGTTTCATACATTTGGACTCCACTGCAAAGCTTTGTTATGGTTTATGTTGATTTCCCCATCTCTGTAAACTCTTTCCTCTTGCTGTCTACCAAGTGAGACCCACTTATAGCAGCGGCTCATTGCTTCATGGTTCTCACTGTACAAAAGGTCACATTATGCTTCACATGGAGATGGTGATGGAATTGTGTGTCTCACTTTCATTCACTTATTCACTCAATGAGTATTTATGCAGCACCTACTATGTGCCAAGCCCCACTCATACTGGCTGAAAAGCCTATCACTCTCCTCTCACCAGACTCACAATACCTGACCCTTCTCTCAACATCCATTACCCCTGTGCTGTTCTCCTTTTATATCATTTATCCTTCTTTTTTATTTTAACGTTCACAAAGTACTTTATTTCCCTTAACAGATTCTGAGCTCCTTAAGCGTGGCTTTTCTCGATATCTCCATTATTAGAGAGATATATATTTATATATGCACACACACTATAAATTTTGAATAAATCAATGAGTGAATAAATGTCCACTTGGCCAAAAGAATTAACAAATGGCTTCTGCACAATTTTCTGTAAAATTCTAGGTTACTAAGATTAATTTTTTTTATTTAAACAAAAGGCTATTAGTTCAGCAACTTTATAATTAAAATAATACATTCCAATTATTTTATCACAAATAGGAAAATTCTTCTAAGAATCCACAAAATCTTAAAGTCCATATTGGAACCCACAGAATATTAATACCACCTTCTCTCTCACCATTTCAGTGTTATTCCCGGGCTGTTTATGGGCTTTCTCAAAGCTGTTTCAGTGGGAGGGCTAAGGATTTACCACAAAAGTATAAAACAGGGGCTTTGATCTCTAGTCCAAAAAACAGAGATCATAGAATTGGAAATAAAACACACTGTTTTAATGACTTATAAAAATTGGGGGTAATATTGAGACAACCCTCAACTGAAAATAAAGGCAGGAGTTATAGTATATGGGAGAAAAGAAGCTAAAAGCATGAAATCACAAAATTGAAGGGGCTTGACCTTCCAGTTTTGCATAGGACAATACTTACAGTGGGAAGTGATTGGTCCAAAGTCCCTAACTGGCTAGCCACTGATTCAGGACAGGAGCCTGTGTTTCTGGTTTCAAAGCTCTTTTATGGAAGAAGTGAGGTTTCACACTACAGAAAGTTCAGGCTGAAAATCACGCTTGACATCCACTTCCTCAGAATCTGCATGCTTGAGAAAAAGCTTAGGAAATTTCTGTTTTAAAGCAATTCTGTGTTTATTTGAGTACAGCTAACATTAGGCTTATGTAACTAATATTTGTCAGGGCCGCCCACATGCTTTTGAGATATAAATACTACTCCTTCCACTAAACTGTCAGCATCTCTATAATTTTTTAAGTGCGGGAGAGCAAAGCAGTACATTCTTATCTAACAGCATCTTCACAATTATAGATCTGGGCTATAGTTTTCAGAGTGTTCTTTTCTGCAACAAGGAAAGGGGAAAAAACAGCATAGAGGTTCAGAGCTGGAATTTTAAGTTTAAATAGTTAACTGCAATTGGTTCGGATTTTCTCCCTCCTGTGTAAAAGTTGGCATAAAGGCAGTCGTTTTTACGAACAAGGCTTATACTGCAAGTCCAGAGTAAAAAATTTGCACCAAAGTTTTCTTAGTTGTGACCATTGCAAACTACATCTCTTCCTCCTTCTCCTCTGCCACATTATTCTAGAACACTTCTAAGTAAAATGCAAAAGGATATCCAATAGGACTCCTGCATCTTCTTTGGGGTCATATGTAGCACTTTCTGTTTGAAGCTAGCGTTTTTCAAATTTTTTCTAGCTATGTGTTATTACTAAAGATCGTGGTGAGGAGCGGCAGAGGAAGAGAGAGAAGTGGTTAGGAGGACACTTCCCAAGAAGGCAAAATAACAATAAAGATAATGATGCCCTGCTGTGAAGAAAATGGGAAAAAGTTGTAATATATTAGAGGGATATTTCCAACCCAAGAGTAAGAGCCACACTTCACTTAGTTGGAGGCAAATGAGAACACAGTGCTCTTTTGGGATGAAGGAAGGGGGTGTGAGCGGCTGGGACATCCCTGTGATACAGTATGGAGGAAGCCGAGGGTTCAAATGCCCCTTGGGGATGAATGTCCCCCCAGCTCCTGCCTAACGGAGATGATTAATTCTACATCACACTCAATTTGTGAAAAGAGCTCTTGAAAAAAGTTAGGACAGTTTGCTTGTGCAAACTGTCAAAATGATGAATGGAAATAGGTGTGTACAAACCAGGGGTGGGGAGGGGGCAGATTGCTGACATAAACGTATTGGCCTCCACATTTTAGTTCCCTAATATCACAGCCGTGCAGTCAGAACCGAGAGGACGGCCAACTGGATGATTTGGTTCATTTTCTTAACTGCATATGTAATCTTCAGATGATAATAAAATAGATTCTAGAAAAACTGAGCTAACCTAATTTCTTCATAAATGGTCTTCCTTCATCAGCTCAATAATACATAACCGTGATAATGAGTATTTATAGTGTGTCCCGCGCAAAATGGCCTTTGGGTTCTTAACCTAATATAATAAACAGATAATTCAAATAAAAAGACAGCATGGGCCAGTGGGAACAAGGCAAAGAGGCCAAGAAAGGCAAAATTCCATACTCTCCTTAAATATATTAAT